TTACTAACGAAAATAATCGTTTGAGTTGATAGTTTTCTGTGAAACAAAAATGCTTTTTTCAATGTAACCGTTAATATGCATCAACAGGATATTTCGTGATGTAATCATAAGTTGACTCATTAAAAGCACAGTTAACTATATTTCAACATACCACAGACAAAATGATAGTTTTACACCTATTCAACGTAATCATCAAATCTTCAAATTGTTAGCATTAAATTACATAATTGAATGTACATAATTTCCGTAATGAATAAAATGTAAACCAATTATCGAAGAGATGAAGAAATATTGCATCTGTAAATAGGCAATATTACTGAATAACAACGCTCTTGATTGTCTTCTGACCGACTTGAAAATACTAGTTGAAAAATCCTTTGAAAGCCCCCTGTCGAGCTAGTCGAAAAAATAATGCGCACACGGAAAGAAAAAAGTACCTAATGTTGAGTTGAGCAGTTCCGTGCGCCAACTCAATTTAGAGTTCTAGCGTCTACTCCATTTTGTGTTTCATTCACTCGCATGTAAACAGAATTACATACTTTTAAGTTGTTTTCACTCAACGTCAAGTTCAAACTACTCAAAATTGAGTTTTACACAACTTACTCAATTTTAACTTGGCGCACGGAACTGTCGAGTTGGGTGAATATAACTCAATTTTGGGTTGTTTTGCTCTTTTCGAGCAAAAGAGAGCAAGTGAGAGGCATCAACTCAAAAGTAAGTTTAAAGAACTCAACCGTTGGCTAGTTTTGGTTCTCCGTCAAACTCCGTCAAGCATTTAAACAGCGGAGGAACAAAGTAGACGACAAATTATCTGGGCCTCACCTGTTTACATCTCATTACGCATTACCGTGACTATTAACAATTCGCCTCTTCGGTCACTCTGTAACTCTTCACACCTATGGTAAAATCCCATAAACAAACATCAGTATGTGCGTGAAACATGGTGAACATTCCCTTACCCTTTCTCTCCTAGGAAAATCCCATATGATTCTTTCAATCTTTACGTGAAAAAACGGCAGCTTGCTGGAGGATTGAAGAGATAAGACAAAGTCCGCTAGATTTTCTGCACAGATTGTCAGATGCTTATGGGATTTTACCAGGAGTAAATAGTTGCAGAGTCACCGTCAACGTCAATGCTTGCTTTCGTAAAGGCCAATGCTGCAAACGCAAATAATTACTTTTTGCGTGAATTTCTCGAAAATGAAAACTCACTCAAGAAAACCATGATTCTGTAGAGAAAGAGTCCTCCTATCCGATAAAATTAGTGGCTTACATGGATTGACTTCGACCTACAAGACATTTCGGCATTGGTTCTTATGAACGCTCAGTGTCGATATCACGAAAATTTTATTTTGACAGATCGATGTCCAACTATGCCAGTTATGATTCAACAAACAATTATTGAATTTTTAATCATCAAAAACAGTTTTTTCATTCAAATTCAAAATTCTGCCAATGAAAATGTCATCACTGTGTTCCAGTAGGCCAGTAGAATGCAATGATGACATTTTCGTTGGCAGAATTTTAAATTTGAACGAAAAAACTGCTTTTGATTTTTTGATGATGATTGAAAAAAACAATGATGGTTTGTTGAACCTTATACCACTGAGGCAAAACAAAAAAGGGGTCAGCTTTGACTCACGTTATGTGGGGGTTCACTCCGCATGGAGGAAAGCCGATATCATGCGCAAAGAATCTTCGATTTGGACACAAACATATGGATGCAAAAAGCTGACTCAAAGCCTTTGAGTCAGCTTTTTGCATCCATATGTTTGTGTCCAAATCGAAGATTCTTTGCGCATGATATCGGCTTTCCTCCATGCGGAGTGAACCCCCACATAACGTGACTGTTTCACGCAGACAGCAACAGGCGGCAGCTGGCAGTGGGTCTAGAAAAAATAATAATGAGCAGTTCGTTTTGTTAACAAATAGTAATGGCTAAATAACTCTTTCCACAAGCGTCGGATCGTTTTGCGGTCTTGGAAGAAAAGTTCAATTGTAAAATTAGCTAGGGAGTAGTTGGATTGACTTATTTTTAGAGGACCATTGCCAGATTTTGATTTGAAAAAGTAAGTTTTTCCATAGAAAATCCTATGTAAAATTAAAACCGCTGGCGCTAAAATACAGTTACACCGACCGACCTGAAATTTTACACAGTTGCTCTAGGACCCAAAAGACCCCTGGAAATCATACTGGAACTGGAATTTGAATTTTGTCTCACCCTATTGATTATAGGACATCAGCGTATTTGACCAAACGCCTGCGCAAGTGTGGAAGTCACCCGAAGTATCTACGATACGTCTGGGTCAGTATCAAACTCCACATCCAACCATGACAGTGTATTGTCCGATCGAAAATGTTTCAGTGTGGCAAACGTAGGAGGCAGAACGGATGCAACTAAAGTTTTAAAGAAATTTAAAGCGTTTTTTGCTAGATTTGGGTTACCAAATGTAATAGTGACGGATAATGGACCAGCATTCAACTCCAGAGAATTTTTACAATTTTTAGAACGACAGGGCATTCAAGTAATGAAAAGCCCACCATACCATCCACAATGCAAAGGGCAAGCTGAATGCTTTGGGCGAGTTGCTAAAGTTTAATAAAAAATTCTTCTGGACCCAGAAATGAAAACATCAGACTTCCAAGATAAGCTCAGTTATTTTTTATTCAACTACCGCAATATTTGTTTGACTTCGGGCGAAGGAATGCCGTCAGATAAAATATTGAATTACAGACCGAAAACAGTTATCGATCTGATAATCCAAATAAAACATTCAAAAAGCAATTAGTTCAACAACGAATTGGAAATCCTTCTAGTTCCCCCAGTTTAAAGACAAGATTGAAAATCCTTTGGCTAAGTTAGTCCAAGCTGAATCCTAAATTACGAGAGCTTCCGAAATGGACTGAGGCAACCTTTGTTAAACAAATTTCTCCAAATGTTTTTCATATTGCAATCGGTTCCAACGTGATCTCGGCTCACAAGGAGCAGATTCGGCCGAAGGAAGGGCGTCGACGCCGGTATAATGTTGCGTTATAATCCCAGGATAAGCCTATGCAGGGCACGAAACGTCGGATTGATGAATCTGACGAAGATGAAGAACCGTTCCTTGGTTTTGAAACGAGCATGGAACCACCACCGCCCACCAGAAACGAATTACATCCGGCTCATCTACGATACGATTCAGCGAACGGGAGGCCCGTAATAGTTCCGAGAAGATCTACCCGTTTGAAAAAAAAAAGAAGTACGAAGAATTTGTTTACAATTCTAGATAGAGCTGGAATTAGGGCGTAACAGTTTTTGTAAACAAAGAAGAAGACTTCCCCTACCCGACGGTTATGTTGGTTTGCGTGGGTGTGATTTGAGTTCCTAGAAAACACAGATAGAAGTCATTGTTTACAAAGGCTGTTACGCCCTAACTCCAGCTCTATCTAGAATTACTAATTCTTGAATTTTGAATATCCTTTTACTAGCTGTAATGTGGAATTAGTGATAGATTTTCTTTGAATTTTGTGAATATTCAAAAGATTGAAAGTTGATATTTGCTATCTTGGATTGATTGGATTATAATTCAGTGTCAACATTTCAAAGGGGCGTAATTGCTTTTGTAAACAATGGCTTCAGACGTCGATTTATCGCAAATAAACGCTCACCCCTCCAAGTTAACTAGTAGAGGAAACATTCCTCTACCTGTTGGTGTAATTAATTTATATGAGTGAGCTTTTATTTGTGAGGAATCGATAGCTAAAGCCATTGTTTACAAATGCAATTACACCCCTTTGAAATGTTGGCACTGAATTGTAGGTTTTGTAGATCGTTCGAAAATAATCTTGCGATTAACTAACACGTTGAGGACTGTTACAGTACTGTCCAATCGAAAATGTTTCAGTGTAGCAAACGCTTAATGAACCGATTGTATTCTCCGGTAGGGCATCGTCGATCTCTCCTTTGTGTCATTTGCCTTATATACGAAAGAGTGAAATAAATCAAAGAGTCTTGCTTTGGTGATCAAAGAGTGAACAGTTATTTAATACGAGTGTAACTTTGAAGAAAACATAAAAGACCGATACGTATTTCGACTGCTAAATTGAATTAGAATAAAAGCTGATTTTGTTCTAATGAGTATTCCTCTAACAAGCCGATTCGTAACTTCCAGCATTTTTTTCCTTGATTTGTTTTCTGTCGGTCTTGTTTGCCGTACAGAGTACCAATGCTACCGACGCCAGCGAGGCGCTCCCACACCTGGACCCTACCTATCGACCCGTCAAACTCATGGACCGGGAACCAACGGATTTACTTCCCGTGATCAGAAATTTTATGCCTCAGAAAATCCGGATGGCGTCGACTGGGATTGAACCCATGTCCTTTGGAGTGAGAGGCAGTCACACTTACCACTACACTACCAGCGCCGTTTTAAAAGATACCTACAATTATCGATATGTTCAGGCTTTGCCACATTAGTTGAGAATTCTAAAATTCCGGGTTTTGCAGACCTTGAGCTTATTTCATAATTATCAGTATTATTTCCTCTTCGCTTATCTTGTTTTTTTTTTTCAGGAAATTTGATAATCAATTGAAAAACACATTTTTTACCCAATTCGTACGGCGTACCAATTTTGAATAATGTTAGTATATATAAATCATGCATACAAATTAACCAATCAAATCTACAAAGCATTAATAATTGACAAATACCCATCAAGATTAGTATGAAAGTTCAAAAGTGTTAGCTTAAATTATTATGTTAGCTTAAGTAATTTAACTGCAAAAATGTAAAGCTAGTTCAAAAAGTAGAAAGAGATGTGGATGCCAAAATGTTCGTTAGATAACGAATGATTTTTTTTTCTTCTAGTAAAAGAACAGGTATAAGTACTTTAACCGCACGGAGGATACGTGAAACTATCTACACATAGTCAATTCTATCTTATATCAAGTACCACAACAGAAAACAACTAACGAATAAAAACAATCGAAGAAATAAAGATATGCATATGATATTTACCGGTAAAAAACTGAAATACTTGTGCTATACCAGATGAAGCTGACGGACGGGTAGATTACGGATGGAAAAAAACGAAAATGATTTTAATGACTTCAAACTTCAAACGGATATGGTTGCTCGCGAACAAACAACCCTGGACGGAAATTCTGTGTGTAGTGGTATTTAGGTATGTGCAACATAAAGGTGATTGATTTGCGATATTTTGTTGTTGTTACTATTCTTCGCATATGTTGCGTTGCGTTAGAGAACAAATGAAAAAAGTTGAGTGTGAAACAGTAAAACAAAGACAGGAGATGTGCTCGATAGATTTGGTAGTCACGTTTCGTTCGATTATCTAAACTTTGGCCTTGCTTCGAGTTTTGTTTAAAGAATTCAATGAAAACAGCAGGATGAGAGAAATATTTAAGCGAAACTGATTAAATTTTATGGTATATAAGCTATTACTTTAGGGCCGGAAAGAAACCGCTTTTTTCCACTACTCTAAAGCGTCAAGTGTATCCAAAGTAGTCAGTAAACCGGATGTTAATATCTCTAACAGAGTAAAACTGAAGCTTGGTTGGTGGTAGTGAAACGAATAGTAATAGAAGCGTGGGTGTGAGATTGAGCTTTCGGTTTGTTCTTGGAGGCAAAAAAAAACGCAAAATGCTTGGTCCGTGAGAGCATTAACCAAGGTTAAAAAAGAACGAACAACTTACCGGAAGATCCGGGCCGTCGGAAAATACTGGAAAACGAATTGGAGATGCTTTTCCGTTTGGTATCGTTCCGCTTGAACGGGTCGTACGAGGAGCTGGGCGTCAGTTGCATTGGCGTCGTTTGGGACAGACTGGAGGTCATAGACACACCGCCGGATCCAGCGCCGCCATTGATGAGCAGCAGTTTACCACCACTGGTCGCGTTCGATTCGATGGCATTCTTACGCATATTGATGAGCCGGAATTCGCGATCCACGAGGAAGGACCGGGCCACGTCCACGATCTCCAGCGATTCCTCACACTCGGGCAATTCGGCGTCGATTTGTTGTTTGAGAATTTTCAGCACCTAGATCCATCGGAAGCAGAAGGGTTAGTGGATTGGTTTTGGTTATATTGGTGCTCTTTGCGGCGTATAATAGGGCCATGTGTTGTGGGAGATCTCTTTTAACATTTAATACTTAGTGGCTTCCCGGAACCTATTTTTTTTACCTGTGCACCAACTTTCAAAACCAGATTTAATGTCGTATTCATACTCGAATCGGTTGAAAAATACACTTAATCTTCTAGTTTACTCGATATCTATCCATTGCAAGCAATATTATGATAATTGTTTATGTTTTGAGAGTTGGTGCACAGGTAGATTGAGGTTAGGGAAAGGCCACTGAATAGACTGTTTAGTGTAATTTGTCCTACACAATGGTCTAATACCGCGAAGAAACCCTACATCGATATCATTTGATAAACATTTATTGAATGTGAGTACGGATTTCCGGTTAAACTGACGCGATTGGTCAAGGCGACGATGGATCGAGTGATTTGCGTTGTTCGAGTATCGGGCACACTCTGGAGTCCCTTTGAATCTCGAAGGGCGTTACGGCAAGGTGATGGACTTTCGTGTCTGCTATTCAAAATCGCTTCTTGGCTTCGTCGATGACATCGACATCATGGCACGGAACTTTGAAACGATGACGGAAACGTACATCAGACTGAAGGCTGAAGCTAGGCGCATTGCACTTGCCATCAACGCATCAAAGACAAAATACATGAAAGGAAGAGGTTCTAGGGAAGACAATGTTAGCCTCCCACCCCGAGTTCAGATCGGTGACGAAATCGAGGTGGTCAATGAGTTCGTGTATTTGGGCTCACTGGTGACCGCTGAAAATGATACCAGCAGAGAAATTCAAAGACGCATTATGGCAGGGAATCGTGCCTACTTCGAATAAAATTCGCCGCCGCACGAAGTTGACTGTCTACAAGACGCTGATTAGACCGGTGGTCCTCTACGGCCACGAGACCTGGACTATGCTCGTGGAGGATCAACGCGCCCTTGGTGTTTTCGAACGGACGTACCATAGGAACAAGAAGAAGAGGCGCGCAGCGGGCATGGTGGATCGACCAAGTAGAAGGCGACCTGCGGACCCTTCGCAGACTACGAAGCTGGCGAAGTGTGGCCATGGATCGAGTAGAGTGGAGACGACTTCTTCGGACAGCAGAGGACAACAAGGCCTTAGCCTAATTGGTAAGGTAAGTAACATTCATTGAATTATTCTGAGCATGCCTTGTAAGTTATCGGAAATCAATAGACTTTCACATACACTTTTCTGAATTTGCACTAGAATTTATGCTACCATATTCTAGATACCAGAAGTTCTCTAAGTCGAGGCCCTTGGACTTTATATGGATGTTTCATGACTATACCCTGCTAGTCCGGTGGATTTGCATTGACAGACCTTGTCGTAGAAAATACTAACTCTGAACCTGTCTCTGAAATCTCTTAAGTACTACATCATACCTTCTGAAGTTGCCATATGAAATTCATAAACATGTTCTATTAAACATGCTTGGCCGATCAGCTCAGAGAGAGAGCGTCATTTTTACTCAGTTCTATGAGAAATTTCTGAAAAACGTAAGTTTCTCACCGCTGAGTGGCCTACGGTTTTAGAAATATCTCATACAAGTGAGTAAAAGTGACTCTCTTTCTGAGTTAGTCTCAAAGGCCGTGTGCCCTGCAAGTCCTTAGTCTGGACATAATCTCAGTCTTTTGAACTTGCCATGAAAATTTCTTGATCATGATCAGCTTATTTAACTTGCTCCCAAAATCTCACTCTCTGGAGAACATCCGAAACAAAATACAATATTCCTGAAAGACTCATAGGCTTGCGGTGAAATTCCTTGGAACATGCCACAAAAATTCTTCGGACCTGTCTTAGCAGTATCTGGGGCTTTCCACGGATATTACTTGAATATCTTCTAGAAACCCATAAAATTTCCTTGGAATTTTTTTCTTAAGAGACCACCTAAGGACTCTAGGAACGCTCTCTAAAAGTCTTCTGAATTGTGCCAGAAAGATTTCTAAAAATGTCCTCAGAATCCTCTGAACTTGCCTGTAGAGACCTCGTTACAAGCCCAGGAAGTTCTCTAAACGCACTTGATTCATAGAGGTAACTCTAAGACTAGTATGTCCCGAAGAAACGTGCTCAACTTTTTGGCTCAGCTCTGGTACTATCTTCGGTCCCAAGCTAATCGATTCACCCCTCGAAACATAGAAAAATCCAATAACCCCTCATTTTATCTGTCAAACTTTCATAGCGCATCAAAACAAACATAGTGTAGTACTGGAATTTATACTAGAATGGGTTACGTTAGTCGATTTGCTTGGGGCCAATAGGCTAGTCAAGTAGTGAGCCAATTTAAAATCGTTAGTTTCGTATTGATTGTTGCTTGATCTGTGTGTGATACATTTACAAAATTTATCAAAATCCACATTTCCTGATTCGACTACTTTCCGGGAAAATAATGTGTTATCAAAGGGTATTCAACTCTGCACACCATAATCTGTGCCGAGTGTTTTAACAGTGCCGGATGCTTTACCAAGCGCTGTGCAGAACGTGCCGAAGTAAGCCATGAGGTTGGCAACCCTAAATTTATAATGTTTAGATCGGTTTTCTGGTTGGAGGAGTTTAGAAAATGTTGATGTAATTATTATTCCTTTATAATTCAGCAGTTAAGTTCATAAAGGATGCCAAGCGTGGAACCACAAACGAAGTGACAGACGGAGCGGCTCGAAAACTTTGGTGACTAACCTGCTATTTCAATTTTCCAGTGTACCACATGACAACACCACTACTACTGGATTGTATTAGCATTTTCACCAAATGTATTAGAATGTTTTGGTTCTATCTCTTTCACTCTACTCAAAACTGAAATGCATAAAAAAATGACAAAATGATACACTCTTTGCACACTGTCAAATAATCATTGTACACAAAATCAACTTTGTTCAAATCAAAACAAAAAAACTAACCCATCTGGTGGATGATGGCACAAGCTTCCAAGAAAATTCTATTACAGTGAACCACATTATTTTAATGGATTTCTTCGTCAGTTAGTCGTCTGTCACTTCGTTTGTGGTGGAACCATGTTCCGATAAGACCGACAAGTGATCGGCACTCGAGCAACAGTAGAAGAATCACTATCAAGATGATTAATCGAAATCTTGTGTTCGCTGGCTTTTAAGCGTCAAGTTAACAAAAGATTTATTTTTATGTATTAACCAAGGGGTTAGTCACTCAGCACAGAGTGCCGAAAGTAGATTCAGCACAGCTAAGGCACATTTATCGGCACATTCCCGCACTGCCTTGACAAACTGTCATTTACGTGTACGTAAACAAATCTGTATCGAGATTTTTTAGTTATATTTTTGTTTTTGGTTCCGTGGATAGATACCCTGGAAAATCTTCGCCAGAAGAACCTCCATTACTGGTTGACTCGGAAGCACGCTCCAAATTCCGCCACAAGTTATTGCAAGCCATAGTCACTCGTTTTTTCACGTACGGATATGCCGTCACAACTTGTTCCTCCGGCAATCTGTTGCCCTTTGCCAATACCATTGACAGGGCTTCCCATTCACTCTATTATACTCAACGCAACCCCCGACACGCTTTATCCTCTCCAACTCACTGCGCGCAACGAAAAGTGATTTATGATTTAATTTTCGTTATCATCAGCTTCATTCTTTCTATTTGGAGAATAACGTACATCCAACGATACATCCTATGTGAACGTATAAACTATATGAATAACTACAACCACCGTCGAACCGGTCACCTGTTCCTTCAGCGATTCTTCGATCACCACGGCCTCGTCAAATAGTCCAAAAAGCCATGTTGCTGAGCCGTCTTCAAGTCATCCCTGTTCACCGGTCGTTTCGTCCCAAACTTGTGCAACTTTGCACCGGCATACTGGACAACGTTGGATGCTGGTTGTCCCGCCGTGTGCTGGCCGTAGAAACAGAAAGATGCTGACTCGCACTGAGTGAGCTGCCATTGCTCGTGTGTTCAAGTATGGCACCACCGTGGTCATCGTACACGGCAAAGAAGACCGTTCACGGACCGAGTGAGAGAATGTGTCCTTCATGTAGAAACGCTAACCTTGTATACAGCTCGATCCCACCTTGTAGTAGTCTTGAATACTCCTTCGAGGTTTCCGGCTCTGACAGAGTTTGACCCATGGTTGGTTTTGATGACTTGGTGCAGGGTTGATCAAAAAAAATGCGAAGACGATCCAGCGATTAGATAAGCTGCAGCTGATAAACTTGCTGTTATTTAATTTGAAGCTTATCTTCAAAGATTCACGTTTGCCCTTATCTTTCTTTTGTGTCATAAAAAATGACTCAGGTTATCATTGGAGGTCAATCTAAAACAGCAGCAACAACGAGACAGCATTTTTTTTCGATATAGAGAGATGATTTTCCTGCAACAGCTTCCATTTTGAAAATTTGCTCCGGTGAAGGCTCCAGTGCAGATCACGAATGTTGAATCAAGAATATGGGAACTAATTTGTGTGCTGCAGATAACCGAAATTCGAAGGTAAATCCACTTAAAAATACGGCAAGTGGTTGTAGAAAAAACTAATTTTAATTTTCCTGGGCGAAGTAAATAAACAGCTGTCATCCTGAATCAACCTACCAGATATCAAAGATATTAAATTAACAAGATATCCCACTAATCAATTCCTCATACAAGGCATATAATTACCACCCGAATGTGATCGCAGCGCCATCTGTTGAGTGCACATTGAAACTGTTGGGAGTTCCCCGCCAACTTTACCACCTGGGCTCAATAACTGACAGGTGTCAGCATGACAGATGTCAAGGCGGACGTTGATGATCAGCCGAGGAAAGAGGACGATATCATCCTCGAAGTCATCATCATTATATTGCGATAGCAAGATTCTTACTTGTTTGTGATTGTTCCGATTTTCAATCATTACCACTTTATACGCAACAGGAATACTTGAGAAAACCATCACACATCCAAGCGCGCATCATGATGTGCTTGTAATATG